ATGTCCATAAACCTTTCATATGTTTAAGATCATCCCAGAAACCGAATGTTAGCCTGCTTTATCCATTCAAGTAACAGGCTACTTTCTTCTAACCAGAAATGGTTCCCGAAAAGTGGTTTGGCTGATCCATGTGGGGAAGCTGCATCATTTAGTTAAGCTTAAAGGTTTAGAGACGAGTGCATCTTTCTGCATCACACCAAGTTGATGCCAACCTTACTTCGCTGAAGAAAATTGAAACGACAGCTTTGTTTCTGTACATCTTGACCAGCATCCTCTTATAAAGGAATTACAGTCTGAGTCAAACGGCTGAATTTGGACCCAACTGGACAATCAAACCAAACACACAACCTCTTGCATTAGAATGGATAAAGCCGGCTAACATTTGGCTTCTGGGATGATCTTAAACACATTAAAGATTTATGAACTTCAAGGTCTGGGCCAAGAAAACAACCAATTTAGAACTGTATCATTTCAGCAAAAACAAATATTCAAACATCCATAATATTTTGCTAGAAGCTTGTTGATGGTTACAAAAAGCTATGGTTAAGGGAACAACTTTCTGACAGATATTTACCCAAATATTATAGGTTGATGTTTATATTTGACCCTGTATAAGTTTGAATAATTGTAAAACAAAATAAATAAATTCAGAATTGTGTCTCCACTTAAGAAAAAAATAACACTGAAGCGTATCTTAGCTGACAAGTGCAAAGGAGCAACAAATGGCCAAGCATGCAACAAACACATGAATGATGCAACTCAAAGACACAATATCACAAGAATCAAAGCCACAGAAAAAGATTGCAAAAGATTTATGCTTTGGTCACAGAAAAAGGACAGAAGCAAAAGGAAAAGCTGTGCAAATACTCAGGAAAGTAAAAGCTGGAAGTTTACTCTACAAACAGAAGTGCAGCAGACAGCAAGGGGGGTTGACGGCTGAGTTTGTATTTGACCAGATCCTCAGTAAAGACATCAGGATGGAGAGAAAAAATGAAAGAAACAGAGAAAAGGTAGTTTCCTTTGTGTCTTTTTATACATGTGGTATTACTGTAACAGTATTTAAAGCCAGGGGTTTCATCTGCCCCCCTAGTGGTCTTGTGCACAATCTGTTTTGGAGTTAGTTTGCAGCATTTTTAAAATCTGATATTGTTTGTTAGGTATTTTTAGTAGCTTTCCTTTGCATTAAATTTTTTTGGTTTCATTTATTTATTTTGCCTCATTAATGTTGTGATTGTTTTTTTGTGTTTTAAGTTGCATCACTCATGTGTCTGAACTGTGTTTTGCCATTTGCTGCACACTTGCACCTGTCAGCCATCTGTATTTCTGACTCCATCTTGTAAGACACAAGTTTGCATACTTAATATATAAAAACTCCAAAATTCAACATATTTATTAATCAAGATATTGGCTATGCAATAAAATTAAACAGGCAGGAAATTCAATTAGGGCGTTTGAAAGTAAAAAAAAAAAAAATTCCAGCTTCAAAGCATAAAAAAATATGCAAATATAATTTTTTCTAATGTGAAATTTTGCTGGGTATAAGCAATAAAAAAATTTATTTTAGGATTTGTTTTTTATAATTTAAAAGTTCCTTCAGGCATGTATTTTATGTTCTCATATGAATGTGATTTTGTCATAAAAGCAAATACTTCAAAGTTCAGATATTACAGGTTGCATTAAGTCTATAATCTGAAGCAGCTTCATTGCATCTGTTAGAAGAATACAAAAAACATGTTCTTAAGTTAAGTTGATCTTTGTGAGGCCTGCAAACGTTCAGATAGTTTTACTGTCACGCTGCTTGGTTTTAAGCTCTGCAAGTGAATGTATATGCTCTTCTAAATTTATTTTTATTTTACTTGCTTCAGGTCGTTCTTCTGGGTTACTACACAGCATTGAGTTGATCATTTGGCTCTGGAAGAAAAACACAACAAACAGGTTAGGATAGATAAACTTCCCATTAATATTAATTATTTAAAGCCAGTCCCAAATAAGTAAAAAAAAAAAAAAAAAA